TGAGCTTGTCTCCCTGAAGCCTTTCTCTGTCCTTGCACCAAGCTGTGAGCAGCATGGTGGGCTTGATGGCCGCAGGAGGGGCGGGTGTGTCCGAGGGCCGTCTGGCTTCCCTCAGCGTGCTGTCATGCCTGTCTCCACAGGGGAGTCCAGCACAGTGGTGAGCCCCTTCCTGCCGGGGGGCGTGAGCGATGGGCAGTGGCACACGCTGCACCTGCGCTACTACAACAAGGTACGTGTGTCCCAGCAGTCCCCCGGTGCGGGGGGGTCTCTCTCCCCGTGGGCGCAAATGAGCGACTCCCGCTCTCCTGGTCTCTGTCTCTGCCCCGTGGGGGAGGCTGTGGAGAGAAGGTGGAGATGGCTTTCAGCCCTTGAGGGTGGGTTCAGTGGAGCAGGCAGCTGGCAGCAGGGGGGATTGACCCTCAAGACCACACTCTGAGGCTGCAGGAGCACGCTCTACACAGTGTCATTGCCCAAGTCCACCTCTGTCGCTGCTCACTGAGCTCAGCCAGAGACGTCCCTCCTGCTTCACTCACACCTGCCGCAGTGCAGCGGTGCCTGCGCTGTGCTCAGGCCCTTGGGTGCGTGGGGCTGGGGACATATGTGCTGCTAACGCCCTGTGTTTGGTTTCAGCCGAAGGTCAGCGCTCTGGGGGTGGTGCAGGGCCCCTCCAAGGACAAGGTGGCCATCTTGACAGTGGATCAATGTGATGCCTCAGTGGCCCTGCAGTTTGGTAGCGAGATCGGGAACTACTCCTGTGCTGCAGAAGGTGTGCAGAGCAGCTCGAAGAAGTGAGTTCCTTGGGGACTGCTGGGCAGTGCTACTAGGGGCAGAGGACCAGGGTGCTTGGATCCTGTGTGCAATAAGCCCTTCACATCTGGGACCTTGGCTGTGTGTGCCTGTCCCCGAGGATGTCTGGCCTGAGGCCCCTGTGGCTCTTAAAGCCCTGGGCTTCAATGCTTGTAGGTCCCTGGACCTCACAGGTCCCTTGCTCCTTGGAGGGGTCCCCAACCTGCCGGAAAACTTCCCCGTCACTCATCGGGACTTTGTGGGATGCATGAGAGACCTGTACATCGACAGCAAACGCGTTGACCTGGCTTCCTACATCGCCAACAACGGAACTGCAGCAGGTACCAGAGTCTCTACTCCTGACAGCCCCTGCCCTGGGAATTGCCTCTCCTGCTTACGAAGCAGCACTGCCAGGCTGTAACAGCATCATGGCAGCACAGCTGGAGCTGGGCTGCTTCCTATTGGAGAGTGAGGCCTCCAGATCGCACCACCCCAGCTAACATTCTGGGAATGTCCCCAAGTGCAGAGCCTGTAGAGCTAGTCTGTCGGAGAGATGCTTGTCAGTCCAGATCTGCAGTGTCTTTCTTCTGGCCTAAGGGGATTAGCGACAGCCTTTGAACTTCATCCCTGAGCAGGCAGGGCAGGACCTGTGTGGAGAGACTGAGCAGCTCGGCTTGTCTCTCTGGCAGCCAGGGAAAGGGCTGATGGGCAGTGCTGCCTCTCCATGTGGGCTGGGGGAGGTGGTGAGCATGTTGAGGCTGATGTGGATGACTTTGATACCTCCAGGCTGTCATGCCAAGCACATGTTCTGCAACTCCAGCCCCTGCAAGAACGGCGGCACGT